TAGGGGAAACCTAAGAAGCTTTCAGCTGATATCCCAGTTTATGGCCTAGAGTGGATTAAGTGCATGACCGGATATTACTGAAAAGTGCTCACATAAACTTTCAAAGAAGTTATTAGGGATCTTCCAACAGCTACATCAAGTATTACAGTTGAATACCCTGCATTCATGTTCAGGTAAGGATCAACACATACCGAGCATATTCCCACATCCTTATAGACCAACTGACAGTGAGTGAGAGCTCAACATCACACCCTCCCTTACAACATTTCCTGGTCTCCATATTTAAGCTGGGACAAAACAGGAACTCAATGGGGATTCAGATTAATGATCCTTGATCATCAGGAGGTAAGATCAACAGCTACTGGGCTATCTTGTCTGTTGATATGTCATAGACATCATCACATACAATGGAGGCGAAATAATCTCTAGGAATATATCACAACTCATATTTCACTATTTGCCTCAAGGTTCAAACATTTCTATCCAAGTAACTAAAAATGATTCAGTTAAAATAAATATGTGTAAATTACACTATATATGTTTTTACTGCATCTCCTATTTCCAAATTCTTCTTCAACTCTGTCACCACAAGAAGACCAAATCTAGTCACATCCGGTCATAACACAGTCCTGTGAATACCAATATATCAGCCTGTCTGCAGTGACCTGTTCTCAAACTGTAGTTACATTCCATTAGTTCTATGTGCAAATGTGAAATGTTTAATTGGCCGGACATTTAAACAGCACAGCATTTAAAAGCCCATGATTTGATTATATAGTAACTAAAAATTGCATTAGGGGGGTTTCCTTGTGACTCAATAGCTTTTCTAAACCCAAGATGATGTCAATTTTTTTCCCGTAAGCCTCAGTGATAGGGGTCAAGGGATGATAAGTTACCAATAATATTGTTTTTAGGCCTCATGTAATGTATTTTATTTAATACTTTGTTCATGTTTACTGATTACCCATTTAATATATTTTGAAGAAACATTAAAAGGCACATAAATAAATGGGTTTTTTAATGTATTAGTGACCAAATTCAAAATGAGGGCTGAAATCTTTTAAAAAATTTGGCTCCTAGGTCGACCCAACATTGAGTGGGTACCAGGTGCAGTCCTGGGAAGTAAAGGCGCCCGGCGAGATGCTGACCATGCGCTGTTAGGTCTAGCCCTATATACCCAATACACCTGAAAGGCATGGAAAAGAGTCCTTAACTTTTTTTTTAATGTAAATATCCCTTGTTTTAAAAGGATTATTTTATGGAAACTTGCATGGGTTCATGACAAATTTGTTTACCATTGGGGCAAAATGGTCAAGGAACCTGGAAAACAAGATCTATTCTAGTGGTTAAAAATATATCTGTGAACATAGAAAATAAAATATGTATTTAAAATTTTCAAATATATGTGTGTATATACATATATATATATTTGACAGCACATGTACTTCAGTGGCTCTTTCATTACTCTTCTTTGCAATATTTGGCTTATCTTATCTATTCTCATGATAAAAAATGTATCTCTAGAAATAAAATAGTCATTTAAAGTTATCATGCAAATATCATTCTATATACGTTTTTGCAGCTTTGAAATTCTCCTTCAAGTAACCTGGCTTATCAGATCTATTGTAGTGATTACAACTGTACCTGAGAATTCCCAGTGTGAGGTCTAGGACTCCATTTTGGAGAACAAAGAATATTTCCCTGCTTCCCCCCCCCCCCTTCCCTACCCCATGTTGCAGAAGGCAACTAATCAGAGGTGTTTTCTCCAAAGTCAGAGTGCACCTGCCTAATATGCAAAGAACCAACAGCCTGCACACAAATAAGCCAGATATGTAAAATGCATGTGCATGCAAAACAGGTTGTGGATTGAACATAAGTCCAGGAGTGGACAAAAAACCAGAACTTCCGCCAGAGTTTACAGCTGGTGAACAGAAAAAGTATCCATGAAAATAAACTAGCAAATTATTCTGGTTGTTACAAATGTATCTGTGAAAACAAACTATCTATTTAAAGGTATAGAATGTATATATTCATCCCACATGCTGTACTATATTGGCTCTTTCATCATTCTATTCTGAAACATCTGACTCATCATATGTGTTTTCATGATTACACAGTCATAAGTAGAAATGCACTGTTCATTTAAAAGTATCATACATGTATGTTTTGTCACATATATTATGAATTAGCACTTTTCTTTCAAGTCTTCAGATTTGAAGATTGTGTATACAATCTTGTGTGCAGAGAAAACTATGACAGAAAATCTGGCATATTTTTAACAATAATTATTCAGGCTTCAGGTGATAATGTGAAATAACAAACTGCTGTTTGTCCAACTCTTGGTATTATTTTGCGAATTGTATTGCTGTCTGCCTCTTGCTTGCCTACCTTCAGCTTTTTACTCCAGTAGGGTTGTTATAAGAGTTTTACGTCATTGAATAATATGGCCACAATTTGTCTTTGTCATTTTGTTATTTCCATCAGCAACTATCTTTTCATTCTTAGTCTCTTCAGAACTTCTATATTGATTGCTTTTGACCTCAAATTGCCAGTTTTTATAAAAGAATGATGAGAAAACCAAGGAAAAATTAAATGTATAATGAAGATGTCTGTAAAGAAAAGAACTCCCAAACAGAACTGATTAACCACATCACAAATACATTTTTTTGGACATGCAGTTATGAAAGGGAAACTGTCACACAGTTATAAGAGAGAAACTGTCACATAGTTATAAGAGGGAAACTGTCACAGTTATAAGAGGGAAACTGTCACATAGTTATAAGAGGGAAACTGTCACATAGTTATAAGAGGGAAACTGTCACATAGTTATAAGAGGGAAACTGTCACTCAGTTATAAGTGGGAAACTGCCACACAGTTCTAAGAGGAAAACTGTCACACAGATATAAGAGGGAAACTGTCACACAGTTATAAGAGGGAAACTGTCACACAGTTATAAGAGGGAAACTGTCACTCAGTTATAAGAGAGAAACTGTCACATAGTTATAAGAGAGAAACTGTCACACAGTTATAAGAGGGAAACTGTCACCTAGTTATAAAAGGAAACTGTCACATAGTTATAAGTAAGAAACTGTCACATAGTTATAAGAGAAAAACTGTCACACATTTATAAGAGAGAAACTGTCACATAGTTTTAAGAGGGAAACTGTCACTCAGTTATAAGTGGGAAACTGTCACATAGTTATAAGAGGGAAACTGTTACATAGTTATAAGAGGGAAACTGTCACATAGTTATAAAAGGGAAACTGTCACATAGTTATAAGAGGGAAACTGTCACTCAGTTATAAGAGGGAAACTGTCGCTCAGTTATAAGTGGGAAACTGTCACTCAGTTATTAGTGGGAAACTGTCACATAGTTATAAGAGGGAAACTGTCACTCAGTTATAAGAGGGAAACTGTCACATAGTTATAAGATGGAAACTCTCACACAATTATAAGAGGAAAACTGTCACATAGCTATAAGAAAGAAACTGTCACATAGTTAAAAGAGGAAAACTGTCACATAGTTATAAGAGGGAAACTGTCACCCAGTTATAAGAGAGAAACTGTCACATAGTTATAAGAGAGAAACTGTCACATAGTTATAAGAGGAAAACTGTCACATAGTTATAAGAGGAAAACTGTCACCCAGTTATAAGAGGGAAACTGGCACATAGTTATAAGAGGGAAACTGTCACCCAGTTATAAGAGGGAAACTGTCACATAGTTATAAGAGGGAAACTGTCACCCAGTTATAAGAGGGAAACTGTCACATAGTTATAAGAGGGAAACTGTCACCCAGTTATAAGAGGGAAACTGGCACATAGTTATAAGAAGGAAACTGTCACCCAGTTATAAGAGGGAAACTGTCACATAGTTATAAGAGGGAAACTGGCACATAGTTATAAGAGGGAAACTGGCACATAGTTATAAGAGGGAAACTGGCACATAGTTATAAGAGGAAAACTGTCACCCAGTTATAAGAGGGAAACTGTCACATAGTTATAAGAGGGAAACTGTCACCCAGTTATAAGAGGGAAACTGGCACATAGTTATAAGAGGGAAACTGTCACCCAGTTATAAGAGGGAAACTGGCACATAGTTATAAGAGGGAAACTGTCACCCAGTTATAAGAGAGAAACTGTCACATAGTTATAAGAGGGAAACTGTCACATAGTATTAAGAGGAAAACTGCTGTACGTTATCTTCTCCTTCTGAGCATATACCAGCTGTTAACTCTGGCAGAAAGTTCTGGTCGTACACCCACTTCTGGACTTTGGTCTTGTTCCAGAACCCAAGTTTGACATTCATGATTCACAAATCTGGCTCATTTGTATGTAGACTGTTGGTTCCTTGCCTCTCAGGCAGATGCACTCCTACTTTGAAGGAAACACCCCTAATCAGTCACTTTTGATGATTCGATTATTGAGAGGGTGGAGAGTGCAGTGGGTCTATTATTTTTTGCCACAAAGTGGGACTCCAGAACCCACATGGGGACAATACATCATAACAACTGGAAAGCTGGAGAGGACGAGAGGCAGGGGATCCCAAGAGAGAAAATACTGGGCAGTTAAGTATCATGACATGGAGAAACATTTGTGTCAAAAATTAGTGACAGTGCATGCAACAAAAGGCTGTGAGGAGACATGATTACCAAGGGTATATGTCATGAAGTTTAAAAAGTGAAAGATCAAGCACTCATGCAGTGACTCTGATTCTGCCAAACAGTCATAATCATTGAACTTGTTGCAGAACAGACCCACTAACTCCCAGAAAAAGTATGTTACAAGAGTCGACTAACTGGGGACTTCCTTTGAAGTTGGAGTGCATCTGCCTGAGAGGTAAGAACCAACTGTCTGCATACAAAGAAGTCAGACCTTTTGAACTAATGTGCACACAACACTGATTCTGGAACAAGACTAAAGTCCATAGGCAAACGAACAAACAGAACTTGCCGCCAGAGTTCACAGGGAAGAAGAAGATATTAAATGTTTAACAGACTTCATTTATAAAATGCGTAGGTTCTATGAATTTCCATGTGCAAATCCAGCTCATACTTATGGGAAAAACTGGTATCACAGATCTTGCACCGCTTCATGTGAGTCTTCTCATGTTTCCGCAGAGTTGTGCCTCGGCCAAATGCTTTGCCACATAGACGACACACGTAAGGCCTGTCCCCCGTATGAATTGTCATATGAGACCTCAAGTGTCCATTCTTGAAGAACCGCTTGCCACATTCACCGCACTCAAACAGTCGCTCTCGCTCTTCAGAAGAACCAGCAACAATTTGAGGCTGAGAAATTGTTATGATCTTCTCAGGTTCTCCTCCCTGGATACTTGTGGAAGCCACTAAGAACGATTCCTGCCCAGCATCTTTATAAACTTCAACAGGTTGGGAGATGATCTGGAATGACGAGGCACCATTGCCAGGCGCAGTAAACACTTGAGAACCTGCTGTTTCACCACTCTCGGTGTTTGGAATCTGGATGAATGTAATTGTTCCATTTCGACTGGCGCAGGCTGGCTGTGCATGGAATGATGGATTCAGATGGCGCAGGGATGAGGTAAAAGAAGAAGCCATGGCAATGCTTTTGTCATCATGGTCTAAATTTCCAACAACAGATGAGTTTGTGGAATACTGCTTATCATCCTCATCATACTCAGTAAATTCGTCATCCTCCATATACTGCTTCTCCACCTGGTGAAAGGTGACATGCTTGGCTAGGTCGTACTTATCTTCAAAAAACTTATCGCAATGGCTACAAATGTGGGTCTTCATGTGACGGGTGAGGACTGTCCTACGCACGAAATCTTTGCAGCATAACGTACACCTATTGATGTTTCTGTCGGAGTCAATGAAAGAGTATCTCTTGAACATGTCACGATTAGGTTTGGACACAACTGGTGATGGTGGCATCTTGCTCCCCTCTCCGGTGATCTCGGCTTTCATCAGAGCTGCTTTCTTCCTGTGTTTGTATTTGTGCTCAAGGAGGTCAGACTTATCCTCAAAGAACTTGTTGCAGAACTGACATACATGAGTTTTGAAATGTCTGGTCAGTGTCGTAGGTCTCGCATACTTCCGCTTACAGATAGTACAAGCGAATATGTTATTGGTCAGATCTAAACAGGAGTACTGCTCAAATATATGTTTGTTAGCCCGTACAATTTCATCATGAGATAAGCTATGTAAAAAATTCACAGAACGGGCTTCTTTAGGGGGCTCCCCCTCTAGGATATCTTCAAGTTCATTTAAAAACTGGTCTTCCAATTCATTTTCAGATTCTGATGACATGGAGCAGGCTTTCCATTTTTGTTTAGGGGTGTGCAACCTATTAACCTCTGTTTTGATTTGTTTTAACAGGTATCTGACATGACGAGATTTGTGGGCAGATAACTTGTCTCTGCCAACAAAAAACTTATTGCAGTACTCACAAAAATGGCACCTGAGATGATTCTTCAAATATTTATCCTCGTCAAAAGCCATACTACATAGACGACATTTAAATAACTGTTTCTTTTCATCTTTCTCTGAATGTCTTTCAAATTCAGCATAATACTTTTTTACAATATCTTCTCCCTCAAGAAGCAAAGGCTTGTGTAGAAAAGAATTTTTAGACCCATCATCAGAATCTCCCGAACTGAAATCTTCATCTCTTAGAGTCGAAACAATATCAGAATACAATTCATCATCTGAATCTGATACATCGCTATCATTCCCATTATCATCACTATCTTCAACAACGCTTTTTATTATTTCTAAAAACTCCTGGCTATCAAAGACACTATTTTCGGCAGAGGCACACAATTTGAGTGGTTCAACTTTCCGTGGTCTTATCTGGTTTTGCAAGTCTTCAATGTCACTGAAGTCTTCGCTGTCACTGAATTCGAGAATGTCAATCCCTGACCTTGCAGGCTTTTTCTTGCTCTTATTTCCCACAGGTAAAGCAGTTTCATCCAGTGACTTGCCACTGAACAACATGGTTGGTGCATGGTCTCTCATATGGCTCTGTAAGTCTGGCCCGCTCTCAAACTGTTCATAGCAAAGTTTGCATGTAAAATCGCTGCCACCATGCTGCTCTTGAACGTGTGCCTCAAGCTCCTTGTCATCATAGAAAGTGGCATCACATACATCACATCTGAGTATTTTCCCATGGAATTTCAGATGTATTTTCAGCTTAGACAGAGTGGAAAAGGCTTTGCTGCAAATGCCACATATGTATGTGCCATTGTGAACTCGACTATGGTTTGCTAACCGTTTTTCGCTGGTAAAAGTTTTATGGCATTCGTCACATTCCAACTTTTTCAGTTTTGACAAGTTACTCTGGCTATCTGTTTCTTCCTTCGAATCATCGACTGAGGGAAACTTTTTTGTCATTCTTGCTATTACCTTGTTGTGTTTACTTATGGCAGCTTTGATAAAGTGTTCCTCCACTGCTTTGTTAGAAGTCCCAAACTTGTGACTTTTTCTATGCTCCTTTAGGTAATGCAAACTAATAAAAGATCTTGAACAAACCTTACAGAACAAACTGGAAGATCTATTGTGAGATCTACTGTGAATTTTTAATAACAAGGCAGTTTTACAACCTTTTTGGCAAGTACCGCATACATATTTAAATGTATGAGATTTCATATGTTTCTTGTACTCGCCTTTTGAGAATGAAACTTTACAACACTGACTGCATGAGAGTCCCCCTAGTTTGACTTGTGTCTGGTTTGTGACAAACTTATCTGCATTTTTCTCTTTGTCTACCATTTTGTGAAGGCTAGCAATGCTCTCTCGCTCATAACACGCCGTTAAATGTAACTGGGTTTTCATATGCTTTCTCAAAATGGTTTCCCTTGTGTAATCAGTGTTGCAGACATCGCAGTGGTATGGTTTCTCCTTCGTATGGGTCTGTATGTGTCTGTGGAGGTCTCCTTTGCTTTTACATCGAGTGTCACAGTAGGAGCACGCAAAGCGGTCTGTATGAGTGATGAAATGCTGCCGCAGAGTTTGTTTTTTGTTGAACACTTTGCTACATTTTTCACACTGATACAAAGTGACGCTTCCGTCCTTACTCAGGATAGGCTTCATCATTTCAAAATCACTGCTCTTCCGCTTAGATAGTTTGTCTTTTTTCAAGGATGCTCTTGTTGAATATTTTCTTACGGGTGTGTTATCTGACTGGTCAGGTGGCTCAGCAGGAGAAAGCACCACAACCGGTGTTACTGCGTCTGAAGCATTGGAATTAGATGTACAGCTCATAGTCTCTGCTTGAAATGACTCACCATCACTGTGAACTGGGCTTTGGGTCAAAGGTGATGTAGCAGAATTTGCAGCAATCAGCTTCAAACTTGTTGCAAGTGTCTTTCCTAAAGAATTCTCATGGCCTGTTAAAGATTGTGCTGAATTTGATTTTGATGGGGTTCTTGAAAAACTTTTCATTTCTGCCTTTGAATGTCTTCGATTTAATGATTTCTTAAACTCTGAATTGTCTGTCTTAAAAGGAAGATGAGAGCACTCTGAATGCGACACTGAACCTTCCAGTGAATCATTTCCCTTGACAACATCCATAAAATGTAAATCATTTAACGACCCATCAAGAACTGTCTCAGACTTGATGTTTCGAGACCTGCATGTCTTCATTACCTCTCTTTTCATGGAAAACCCACAGTTATTTTCAAAATCATTTTTGCCATTACCATCATCTCTGCAGGATGTCAGAACACCTTCTCTTTCAGAAACAAAACCATGTCCTTGTGAACACTGTTGCAAGGCCAAAGAATCATCTGCCAAGGAAGGGTCTGTACAATCTCTCCACTGAAATCCTTCTGAAGGCTGATTCTTGGCAAATAACTTTTTAGCAGATTCTCCACCTGGCATGATGTTCTAGAAAGTTCTGCCAGTCTCCAAAATGCATAATCTGGAAAACAAGTTATTTGTTCAACAAAATAAGAATGTTTTCTTTTAAATAAGCAAACAAATGTCTGAAGTGTTCTTGCATTTACGCTGCATAATAATGATTTTGACCTACGGCTCCCATCTTGACCCAGCCAAAATGGGTACCAGGAAATATCCTGGGACATAAAGTTGGCCAGCATGGTGCTGACCACATCACCCATTCAGTGTTTATTGGACTGGTATAATAATATGCATTAAGTAAATATAAATTAACTGGCCTTAAATAACAAAAAATCAACTACTATGGAACAGCTGATAACAGAGTAACTCACCAGAGCTGAGTAATAATTAACTGTTAAGGAAAATATGGAAAGTATGCAGTGCTTACAGCACCACCTAAACCGAATCAATAACAAAGGGGAGGAATTTAATATGAGAATAAACACTATGAAGACAGAGATGATGATGATTTGAAGACAGAAAGACAATTAAGAAATAAAATTAAAAAACAGAGATTGAGACAAACATGTTACAACAGGTATAGAGCAAGAGGAAGAACTAAGAAAAATATGGAGTGATTGCATAAAGAACAACCTTACAGAAATGAACATCAATCTCAACAGTGCTCTTGAAAGAGCTCATCGACAAGTCTTACATCTTCCCCGACTCCCCCCCCCCCCCCCCCCCCCCAACCCCGACACTTCATTAAGGTACAGGGTGGAAAAGAAGAAGAAAAAAAGGAACATACAAATGTAAAATAATTTGCCTTTCGCCTAAAACAACCAACAATTATTATGGACCAGCTGATAATAAAGTACTTTTCAAAGCTGTGAATTAACTGCCCTATAACAGCCAAACCAACGATGACAGCAGCAAGAGCGTACAACCTGAAAATCGAAACATCAAGAGGCAGGGGAAGACCAAGAAGATATGGACTGAAGGAGTCACTGATACCTTGAGACTGCATAATATCACAGCATATCAAGCTACTGAGCGCGCCCTGGCTCGGCTGCAGATAGTCCGATGAACTGTGAAGACTAGCGGCATAAGCAGATATTGACAAAAAGAAGGTAATAGTTAAAACAATAAATAAATCACTATCATGGAATAGGTAATAAGAAAATATATGACTGAATCTGAGAAATTATCAACTTCCATAGATACAGAACAGCCTATTGTAAAATAACTGGTTTTAAAACAAATTAACTATCATGTAGCCATTGATAATAAAATAACGGGCTGAAGCTGGGAAATAATTAACCGTCATGGAACAGCCCATTGGAGATTAACTGTACTTTTGTTGTACTTTTTGTAAACTGTTCTTTTGAAAGCATTATATTTATTTTTAGTATAAACTTCTAAATATCATAAGACACTTGACTAGGCACTATGTTATTTATTAAATTAAAACTGCTTGAAATTCTGGTCAACTTTTAAAAAAATCGTTCAACAATCCGCTTAAATTTAAAAAAAAAAAAAAAAACTGGAGAATTCAACTCTATAAAAATCGTTATTTTATCTCAAAATTGTATGAATCCATCCTCTCTCTCTGTGTGAGCCAGAATACACCAGGCGATGGTTTGTGAATTAAGTAATATACATTTGCACACTGGGGTACTCATCGAGTGAGGAAAATCCCTGTAGACGAAGTGGATATAAAAGTGATTAGTGCAGGCAAAATGGTGCATCCTTCCTTCTTACCCGCTGGAGATCTGCAGCTGCGGCCAGCTCCAACCGTGCACAACTTGGTGCGCAAACTTGGGCACCCGGCAACCAGATTTATACAGCTACTCTGTTCAAACGCAGCAAGTCAGATTTTTTATTTTTTTATTGGCCTTGGTTCACAGGTCGAGTTATCTCAAGATAGTAAAATTAAAGATCAGGTAAGTAAAGGGGCCGATGTGATGCTGACCAAATAACCAACCGCCTAGTCTATAAAATTATGTCTAGCATAATATGTCCCATCTTCAGCAGCCAGCGAAGAGTTCCGATATATCACATTTATATATCATGTTAGTTTTAAATATGTAGTAATTGTAAGGTTGTGTGACTGCTAAACCAGAAAAATACGTGTCCGTGGAAATTAGATGTCTAAGAATGAACTGGTTTGGACACTTAACAAGAACGCCCTTGTACTCATATAGCGAACCACACTGAAACGTTACAATGGGTTTGAGAAGGGTTCCAGGAGTGATCAGAAGAGATAAAATCAGGAATTAGGTCATACAAGAAAAAAAGTATATTCTTAATTCAAAATTCAACAGAAAAAAGTCTTCACATAAACAATTCTGAATTATACACAAAAGGCGGCAAAAAAAAATGGTTTGCCCAGTTAGAGAGAATGCCTTGTGGCGCCATACTATGCATGGCATATACAAAAGCGGAGGAGGAGGAAGACGATCACAAGGTAGGGCAGGAACAATATGGAGAAAATAGTTTTTTCACAATTAATTATTAGATATATATATTTTTTTTAAATATATATAATGCTTAAAATGAAATGAGACGCAATTGGCAAGTTAAGCTTGTGGGAATTTCCCTAAATCTTGAATGTACCGATGAGCACCATTATTAAATTTTACAAATAGCCTAGACATAGCAACGAGCAGGGTTGCCATATTGGCATTTTTTATGCCAGATACCACAAATCTGGCATATTTGAAATTGAACTGGCATAAAATAATGAACTGGCAAATTTTGGCATATTTGGGTTTTTCCTGGCTTTTCTTATCAAGATGTGCTCACATTTGCTTCATGGTTCTTCCGTTAGAAACACGCAGATTTGCTAAACGCAATTTAGATCTACAGTTAACATCTTTATTTCAGTTTGACTTTGTTGTGATGTCCTGGTACGGACTAACGGAGATTCGCGCCATTTCTTATTGTATTTATTATTTCCTAAACGGATCACGACTTCGCTAAACCCACCAAAACCCACCACTGATACCAAGTATTCAGACTATTTAGAAACTACTTGAGGACAGAAAATTGAGAGGATATAGACCTAGTTTTCTATCTGTGATAGTTTTTTTTTTAACTTTTACCAATGGCCACGTCACCCCCCCCCCCCCCCCCCCCAATGGAAAGCGTCTTAAGACATCGCAAGTATAATAGTAACTAGAAGAAAAATTACCCACGGCTCAAATGATCTTCAGACGGATCAGAGGCAGCCTATTGTAAACTGCGTCAGTGTACTGTTGCACCAAGAGTTAGTAGCATATCAAATCATGAAAAATCAGAAAAACACAGGATGAAAACCCTGTCAAAAAGTCAGTCACAGCTTATTACAACAATGACTCCTAAGCAAAGTAATAATAAAGTTAAAGGCAGCAGAGTTGCAACTTGCTGTAGGCGTGACCTGCCATGGTGAAATGCGCACAATTGATCATCTAAGTGAAATTATTAGAGCGCATGGTCGGGGAAAACATTGGAACACATACAGTTGCATATATCTAAGTTAGTTAGTTAGTTAGTTAGTTAGTTAGTTAGTTAGTTAGTTAGTTAGTTAGTTAGTTAGTTAGTTAGTTAGTTAGTTAGTTAGTTAGTTAGTTAGTTAGTTAGTTAGTTAGTTAGTTAGTTAGTTAGTTAGTTAGTTAGTTAGTTAGTTAGTTAGTTAGTTAGTTAGTTAGTTAGTTAGTTAGTTAGTTGGTTGGTTGGTTGGTTGGTTGGTTGGTTAGTTAGTTAGTTAGTTAGTTAGTTAGTTAGTTAGTTAGTTAGTTAGTTAGTTGGTTGGTTGGTTGGTTGGTTGGTTAGTTAGTTAGTTAGTTAGTTAGTTAGTTAGTTAGTTAGTTAGTTAGTTAGTTAGTTAGTTAGCTAGCTAGTTAGTTAGTTAGTTGGGTTATCCTCATTGCACTCCGGACATGTCCATAGGTTCTCAGATCCTCCCCTCAGTATGAACCCCAACGTCCGATGGCTAATAGTACCAGTTCTATGTTGATTAACAAGTCTTCTGGCGTGTCTGGTGTGCGTCTCGTTTTTTGCTGTACCGATCTTAATTCCCAAGTCTGCCATTCTGGCGAGTGATGTGGATGTCGCGCGCCCACGTGGGTAAATGCACTGATATAGTGAGGGTGTGGGTTTGAAACTTAACAATACCCACCCACGTGAGAAACTGGACTATTATCTAAGCTATGTTGATCCTAGACAGTCCTGGATAGCCAAGAAAACAGCGAGTGGCTCGTTCCATGAAATGAAAGTTGCTGTACTTGTATCCACAGGAGAAGGAGAAGGGATAGATAGATATCAGGATAAACCCACTGTGATATAATCCAGGTACTCAGTTAACCCCTCCGACTTTTCTCCTCTCCTGGCATTACTTAAAAGCGCCCATCAAGTGATTTAAATATTTGTTAGCTGAAGTAAACTAATATGCACAAAGACACTTGAACCTAAGTACACAATTTACTCAACTATGTTGTAACAACATCAAACATGATTTTTTTGAATAAATCGAAATTAAAATGAACTTGTTTAGGCTTGTAGAGTTGAGGTGATGTTATAAATGACATTAAAGTTGTACATAACTTAGCTTCTAGTAGGAGAATTCACCGTCAGAAAGTTCTCGGCTTGAGACCCTGCCTATCTTTTCCAGTTTGTCGTCCTCACTGCTTTCAGCAGGTCGTTACACTCAGACGGTCGGCAAATAATGGATGCCTACTAGTCCCTGCCCAATGTGGGAACTGTGATAAAGAAACAAGCGCATATTTGTAGTATCTGCTCTAGATGTACACTAAGCATGTATATTATAATAACATCAAACATGTTTATTTAAATAAAACATTGCATCTCTCCCTCATTTTCACATTCACTCCTGTCCAGTTTGGAAGGGCTTATGTCTCACATTCCAACTGTTACATCTTCTGCCTTCCTCTACACACAAGTCCTGTAATGATAGTCAAGTCTTCTACGTCAGGTGCCATCTCTCGTACAGACTCAAAATGACAATCAGTCAGACAGAACCAGTTCTGGAATCTATGCTTGGA